ATTCTGCATCACAGGCATTGTTTTCTAATCGGTTAAGGTGAGTTACATTGGAATTCGTAAGCTTTGTGGGTAATAAAGTATTATTCTCATTTTTATCCTAGAGTGGTGGTATCCAACCACTGCTCTCTGGACTGGTGCTTGTTGCAGGTGTGAAAAGATTGGAAAACACTGGTCTGCCATCTTGGTTAGAAAACTGCCTGTGGGGCAGTTCTGCAGATGTAAACTGATTGAATACTGCTGTCCTAGAGTCATGAGCTGTTAGGTCTTCACTAATTAACCTCAGAAGCTGTAGCACAGCACCAAGGGGTTGCAGATGCTGACAAATTGGTGTATTAGGCCTTTAATAGACTTTCTAGTCTTTTCCCATCTCCAGTGTCCAGAGCTAATTTTCTCAGCCTACTTAAAAAACACTGGCACATCCATGTCATGATATTTTACTTAACAATGGATGAGCGTATTGGTGCAACACCTTGAATTGATTTCTAAGGATTATACTGGTTTTAAGAAAATGATAAAACTTACACCACATAAAAATTAACAAAATGGGTTAAAGAATTAAAATTTAAAGAGAAAGCCTTAGAAGAAAATAGAGGTTCTTGATATGGGTCCTGATGAAGACTTGCATATGAAATCAAAGGCACAAGCAGCAACAAAACTACACCGAGTTAAAAATTTTTTGCACCAATATTTAAAAGTGAAGGTACTCTGCAAAATGGGAAAAATATTTGCAAGACATGTCTGATATGTGATCAACAACTCCATAGCAAATATACTTTTAAAAGGGCAAGGTAGGTGGACACAGGGATGCTAAGTAATGCCCTCATAGAAACCTTTGACAGATGCAGTTTCTGTAGGCCCAATGTCAGGGCACTTGTCTTCAGCTCTTTTAACTCTTTTTATTTTTGTATTTTCTATTGCTTCACCGTGAGGTAAAGTAACAAAGATTTCTTGTTTGAGTTTCGATCATAGTCATCCAACACCCATCCCTTCACCAGTGCACATAATCTCCCACCAAAATCCCCAGTATTCTGCCCCTCCCCCCATTCCACACCTCCCCCTGCTTGTGTGGCAATTTGCACAATACTCTCTTTAGTTACCTTTGGTATTTCGAGACCAGACCCACCACCACTCATACCTGCCGAAAAGGCAATGCTAGACAATGCGTTTTGTATTGTTTGTTTTGGATGCAATATATTGTTGCGGTCATGCACTCTAGGAATTCAAAAATTTTAATAGGGTCTGAAGAGACTGTTGGAGCAAGTTGCTTGCGGCTGAGGTTTGTGTCTCTGGATCCTGGCTGTGTGGGAACTTAAGTAGACGGTGGCCGGTGTTACATCTCAGAGTCTCATGGGATGGGGTGAGATGGGGTGGGGTGGGGGAAGAAGTGCCCACTCCTCCCCACGGCTTGTTCTTGGAGCTTATCGCTGACATCTAGAAAATGGTGGTCGCTGGAGTTCCTAGTGGGTAGGCGGAAGGACGGCACCTACCGCCGTCTGGAGCAGCCCAGTGGAAACGACCTATTGCAAAGTCCAGGGCCATCTCTATGTCTGTATCGAGTTGCTCAGGTCCGAGGTTCCTTTGTGTGTCGCAGCTCTTTCAACTCTTATGGGCTAATCTACATTAAAATTTTACCTTCAAGCTGTTGTTCCTTTACCACCACTTTGTTCCAGATGTAGATAATGAAGAAGGAAACTTTGCTTAGGCAAAATGCCAAAGCTACATGCTCCAAATTTGATATAAAAGAGTTTTCTGGGGTACTTGCTTCAGTGGTATTTTCATTCTTTTTGTGTTTACTGCTCACTAGTGCTAACTAGCAAGAAACTATTCAGACACCGAAAAATCATTTCTAACAGCTGTCAAGGTGGACAACAGAATCATACACTGATATTCTCAGGCAAAAGAAGGGTCACTTTTAATCTTTCTGCATGCAGACTTCCCAAACTGGGATGGGTGCATAAACACAGCTCTTTTCTGATGCTTTTTTGGTGCGACAACTGACAGCTCTGAGGGCTTACTCCTGGCTCAGTGCTCAGGGACCATACACAATGCTAGGTATCTATCCCTGACCTGCCACATGCAAGTTAACCTCTGTATTCTCTCCATCCCCTGATGCTTTGGAAGAATGACTTACAGGCTCACAGCCAAACCAATCTATACTATTTGGACCTTCCTACCAAATATAAGGTAGAGAGGATTGTAAGGGAATCTAGCTGCAACATGTCACCCCACTGATGGCCAGAGTTGATTTGCCTGATTTGACTGGTTAGGTTGGTATCCCCTTCCTCATTGCTCCATGTGCTTCCTCACCAAGCTGTGCACTCCAAGAGACAGCGCTCCCTCCCCACCACCACCGAGTTGAAGCTGTTCTTTAGTCAAGAAGCTGCACTCCCCTGCCTGAATCTCCAAACAAGTTCTAAAAAAATTGAAACTGAATTGTAATATGATGCAACAATCTCACTTTGGGGAACATATCCAAAGAAAATGAAAACAAACAGAAAAATACCCACTTTCTAGGTTCAAAACGTACAACGTTTTTAAAAACGCAAACGGAAGCAAATAGCCACTGTTGTGCATATATGCATACAGTTGTGAGTTGCTTAATGATGGGGATGTTATAAGACCGTCATTATAAGCAATTTCATTGTGCTCATGTCAGAATGTCTAAACACAATTACAGAAACTTAGATGGTACAGCTTTACTACATTCCTACACTTTCTGATCTATCCTATTGATATCACCATTGTATATGCAGTCTACTTGCTGACAGAAACTTAGTGATACTGACTGTAAAATGAAATAGTCATAAAAAAAGCAAGAAACTGACACCTGCATGAGCTTGGAAGTGATTATTCTACATGAAGCAAGTGAAAGATAAATAATAGATGGTTTAGCTTATTGTAGAAACTTAAATAACCCTCACTCCTAATTAGGGTTCTTAATTACATGGAGGAAAAAAAATTTCATTTTATTGTAGTTCTGTCATGACTAAGGTAAGAGTGATAATTTCATGATATTTAAATTAACCATAATACTGTGTACATATATTGTGTACTATAGCAATTCGTAGTTTATTTCTCAATAAGATGGAGTCAATCCCAAAGGCAATACTACTGTACAGAAATGAAAAATATTAGTGGTACACAGAGTTAGGATGGAAAAAGAGGGATACTTGTGGAGAGCAGAATGCTTAGTTTTAAAACTTACTGTCAAATAAGAACTGGGAGCTGAAAGAAGGTAGGGTGATATGCATGATACCCTTAAAGTAATAGGACTGCAAACCTCAAAGTCTAAAATGAAAAAAAAATGAGATGAAAAGTGTCTGCCATAGAGGGCAGGCTTGGGGGTGGGGGGGTGGGTACAGGAGGAAAACTGAGGACATTGATGGCAGGAAATGTACACTGGTGAAGGGATGGGTGTTGAAACATTGTATGACTGAAATTCAATCATAAACAACTGTGTATCTCATGGTGATTTAATTGAAAAAATAAATCATTTTCCAGAGTGATTTTTGTCACTTTATATTCACACCACTGACATGTGAACAATTTTCTTTGCATGCTCTCTAGCATTTGAAAAAAAATGAGATGAAAAAAGGCAGACACTTTTCATCTCATTTCTCTTTTATTTCAGCCACACAGGAATGTTGTATTTAGTTGGATTTCCCAGACGACTAACGATATTAAGTATATTTATATGCTAATTTGCTATCCATGTCTTTGAAACACTTTTTTGTACTTTATATTTTGATTTCTTCATATAATCTAGATATTTCTATCTGATATGTGGTTTGCAAATATTTCCTGTTTGTAGCTGCCTTTTCATCCTTTTTACAGGGTCTTTTTGTTTATACTTTGGGTCGCAACTGGTGGTGCTCATGGCTTATAACTTCTGGCTCTGTGCTCTACGATCATATCTGGTGGTGCTCACGATACCGTATGTGTTTCAGGGTATCTACCTGGGTCAGCTGCATGCAAATTCTCCAGTCCCTTAACAGGGTCTTTTGCAGAGAAAAAGCATTTCACTTGGATCAGCTTCAGCTTCCCAGTTTTAAAATTTTGTTTTTTGGGCCAGAGATAGCTCAACTGGCTTTTTTCTTAATCCCCCCGTATCCTTCACTTCCAGGTTTTTTTGTGCCATACTTAGCCAGTACCTTAGGGCTTACTCTTTGGTTCTGTATTCTGGGATTACTCATGATAATGTTTAAAGGATCCTATGTACTGTACTACCTTTCCACCCCCAAAAAGATCTTTTTTTTCTTTTTGGGTCACACCCAGCGATGCTCAGGAGTTATTCCTGGCTTTGCACTCAGGAATTACTCCTGGAGGTGCTTGGGAGCCCATCTGGGATGCTGGGGATGGAACCCAGGACAGCCGCGTGCAAGGAAAACACTAACTGCTGTACTATTGTTCCAGCCCCCCCCCCCCAAATTTTTATGATGAGAGAAAGAACATGGCCAAGAAGAAAGAAATCCTGGTAATTCCTCATTAAATAGTTCTATAAAACAGTCAGATATTAACTGTGTAGCTTCCAGCCTTCTGCCTGAAATTATAATTCTCTTAAGTGAATCAAAACAAACAAAAAAAGCAGGTGCCTGAAACTTGTATTAGGTCTCTAGAACCCTCCTAAACAACTGTTCTAAAAAGAGCAGATTTTAATATTTCTCTTATCTTTAATGCACCTTCACGTGGCATTTGGTTCTATAATATTCCTACCTCATTTGGAACAATGAGAGGCATACTTTTCTGAGTTCTTTATTAGATAAACACAGAAAGTCAGTGTAATTTTAAACAAAGAAGTTTAAAACATCAAGTTTTAGAGACATATTCCTACCTTATTGCAACACACAGTTTATCTTTTAATATTAGGCACAAAGATCTTGGTGTGACTCACAGTGAGAATAAGGGCTAACATACAGTTTACAGTTAAGTATCTACTTTCAATGAAAAAAAATTGTTACATGACGGTGTCATCTCCAAAGAAAGCACTTAACAGACACTAGTACGCAACAATCATTATATTTATTTTACTAAATAGTATGGTTCAAACATACAAACAAAGAAACAAACCAGAAAACTAACACTTAAAACTAGTCCAACAAGGTGGATATGATGATGCCACTTACCAACTCTTTTCCATGTTTACAGACCTGGAACCTAGCAGACAGCAAGCACTCATGTATACTTTGCCTTTCCTTCTGAACATGAATTAACTTTTCTGACCCAAGACAAATGAAGTTTTACAAGTTACAGGCACTTTATGTTCCCAGTTTTAAAAGTAAGCCAAGTGAAAAATCTAATTGAAAGTAAATGGAACAGAAAAAGCTTTAGGAGTTCTACCATTAGGTCTAGTAACTTAACACCCAATGCAAACAGCATTAAACAAGTAAAACAGAAGTTTAACTGGGGTTAATAGGCATATATGTAAAAAATCCAAATTTAGTACAACTAGGGAAAAATGGTCATTTGAATTCAACTCAAAGATATGCCAATAGTGTGCATTAAATCCTGTATACCTATGCAGCTGAATAACATCTGAGAGCTTTTCAATAGTATGTGGTTAGTGAAAAAAGCAAAAGGTGCTTTCAATTCCACAGTATCTGGTTAAATAAAACAAAGCAATTTACCAAAAAAAAAAAAAGTACCAAATGATACTTCAAAATAAATAGTTCATCATTTTGATGAATATATACATTTAAAGTCCACTTCCTGAGGATCTAGCTATCTAAAAGTGGCATATCACTATCCAGCTGTGCAGGGGCAAGTTCACATAAATAAAACAGTGTGGCTTCACTAGCTTCTGCTTCAGTCAATGGCTCCAGACGAACAAGCTTACTTTGGGTGGGTTCTGGATCCAGGCTGCCATCCAGAAGCTCATCAACTTCTATGGGTTTATCTACAGAGGACATAACTTCTGATGATGCTGTATTCCCCTGTTCAACAGTGGTGGCAGGGTTAGGGTTCCCATCCAAGAACGCGAGAAGTGGAAAGGCAGTATACTGGATAAGCTGTTTGTCTATAATAAAGATTAGAAAAATGTTATTTTATCACTAGCTCCAAAGTTTAAGCTGAAGGCAGAAAAATAAAAATAAATGTGTATTACGTGGCCAAACAAAAAGATATACTTTGTCAGGAAATTTTAAAATGGGCAAGACAAAAAATTTAACCATTTACTCAACAATTAAGAAATGAGAATCCTTTCAGTTCTAATGCAACATAAGAAATAAAAATGAAAGCTTTTAGTAACGATTATATCATCAATGTAATTTTTTCTACATACTAAGCTTTTAGATATTATGCACAAAACTGAAAACAATACAGTCTGTGTTTAATTAAATTCTCTATGTTGTGAACAAGTTCTTAAAACTCTGATTATTAAGTGACTTCTTTCTTCATCAATGTTTCAAACAATGCCAACTAAATAATTTTCTTCCAGATCAGCATATGGTTAATACTTGGTTCACTAGTAGTTTCTATGTCACAGTCACGGTCCTCCCATTGTTTATCAATTTTCTCGAGCGGGCCCAGTAACATCTCCATAGTGAGACTTGTTGTTACTGTGTTTGGCATATTGAATACGCCATGGGTAGCTTGCCAGGCTTTTGCCGTGTGGGCAAGATACTCTCAGTAGCTTGCTGGGCTCTCCGAGAGGGGCGGAGGAATTGAACCTGGCTCGGCCGGGCCAGCTGCGCACAAGGCAAACACCCTACTGCTGTGCTATGGTTCCACCCCAGTTTCTATGTAGAACTCAATTTTTTAAAACAGGCTACAAAAACTGATACTACGTTTATACCTACCCGTTTTGGATTTAGATTTTCTTCCCTCTTCTGAAACTGGCTGTACTACATTGTTCTTAGCAGTTTCTAATCCTTTATTTTCACACTAAAAGAAAAAAATCATACAAAAATACATTTCATTCTGTGTTATAAAAAAAATAGGAAAAATCAAAACCTATATAATATGTGAATAAAATTAAAACCTGTGCAGTATATAGCAAGTTAATAGATTCTATCATACTACTTCTGCTTAAAAGTTTTGGCATACTACCTGAGAAACATGGGAAGAGAGAATTTAAGGAAAGATGGACTGAAAAAAGACATTTTAACAGACATAACAAGACTAGTTAAAAAACCAAATAAACAAACACCTATTGCTGTCATCAAGTGGATGAAACAAAGAACCTGAACTAGGATGATAGTAAATATGAAAAGGAGGGGTAATTCCAAAAGTAGAACAGACAGAATTTGTTAATGGTAAAAGATAGGAAGGACCACAGATAGCTGCTTTCAACTCTAATTTCAAGAGAAATTCATTAAAACAAACTCATTTCAAACAGTTTTCATTAAAAATGCTTTACATACTCTCTTCACTCATGAACAATATGTGAACATATATAAAGTAGCTCAGGATGACATAGGGACAGCCTTAAATTTATTTATCCCTATATCTGGAAGCCTCAAGGTTGAGGTGGTATTTCTTCATTTCCTTTTTGTGGTTCTTCCAATCTGTTATTTAAACTGTTTCTTTCAACGACTGTCTTCTCTCCTTATATATTGACTGTAAGGGGATTAAATCTTTAATGTTGTTCTTCAGTTCTCTTTTCAGCGATGTTCAATCTGAGATGCAGAAGTTCACAGTATTTCCAGAAATGCTGTATGTCTGATATTTGATGCTACTTAATTTTATATGGTGTAAACCAAAAAAAAAAACTAATTCCCCTCATATTCATATGAAACTGTAACTTTCCTTGATTCAAAGATGAACCCAAATATAGTAAAATCTAAACCTTTTGTAAAATGTATATAAAATAGTTTCACAATTATGAATGCATAATAAACACTGAAACAATCCTACTTTTACTTTTATACTTCCTAATACAGGTGCTTTCAAAGATGCCACCGTTATTCTAAAACATATGAAAACCAGGATAAAAGGGTTTCATGTCTTATGTAAATTCCTATTCTTCAGTAATGGCCTTAAAAATAAGTGCTGTACAGAGAAAGGAGCATTATAAGGCATCCCAATTAGAAAAGCGTTGTATGTCAGATGAGCAAGAACTATTCTAAACTGTAAGACATCACTTTCAAATTTAATTTTTTCAAATTTAATTTTTATTTAGTATAGAAAAACAACAGGCAATTTACTGTTTATTATTTCTGAAAACGATTTAAGCTAATATCTAGACTAAGCAAACAGCACATTCTCTAAATCAATGTATGGTAGGAGTTCATTTAACTTAAGGTCTAACATTTAATATTCTCATATTTATTGAGGTTCAAGTGATCTACAGAATCTTGTGATATAAATTAGGCAAGTAATGGTTCATAGGCCAGATTTAGCTACCTTGTTCTCATAAAATTTTATTATGAGCATAGTCAAGCTCATTCTTTCATGTACTGTTAATGGATGCTTTTGCATTGCAATTACAATTAATTATTGTTAACAGAGAACCTACAGCTTGCAGATAAAAAATTACTAACCAGCTTTCACTAACTGCCAACATCTGGTATAATTTATTCAAATACTGAATTTATAATCCATCTTCCAGTTCATAATTTAATATTCTCTATTAAAAAACAAGTTCTGGGCCCACAATGGCTGTGCTCAGGGCTACTCATTCACTCTACATTCAGGGATCACTACTCCTGGCATGGTGGCACTATAAAACCAGATCAGCAGTGTGCAAGGCCAATACTTTATCAGCTGTTCTATTGCTCCAGTACCTCTTTCAACTCTCAAATTACCAAAGCTACAATTGAAATTGCAGAAAATAAAAATACAGTCAGGCTACATTAATGAAAATCAGAAAAATTCAAACCTCTTATTCTGATTAGTCATTTATTTGCTACGTATTCATATTTAGATGGCTGATTCAATTTGAACAAATTTCTGAGGGTTTGATTTTGAACAAATTTCTGAGGGTTTGATAATTTTCATATTTAACGAAAAACAAGGATTACTCAGCAATTTGGTACAAACATAAGATAAAGGGAGTACAATACATTACTGTTCAAATTATAGTGTAAAAAATATTTCTACACATTTGCTAGAACTTCAAATTGTACTTGTTACTTAGTAAAAAAGTCAATAATTTCTTTTTAATACCAGCTAATCCCAACTGAATTTTCTACACGTTTAACAATAAAACAATTACTGCAAAAGAGAATCCAAAAATCTGTATTTCATTTCTTTTTCAATAATTATTTTTACCTATAGTTACAAATTTCTAAGCATTTGCTGTTTACTAACAAAATAAAAGAAATTAAGAGTTACGACTATGGATACCAGTACATTTTTGATAAAAAAAAATTTCAGCTTATATAAGTGGATAAGAGTACAAAATAAACACAATAAACATGAATAAATCAATTTTTATAATTCATCTCAGTGATATACCTGAACACGCCAAGTTCAGCCAGGTGTGCTCTCAGTATTTGAAGGGCTGGTTTCATATTGGCAGGTAATCGTCAAATGCCAGTAGAATTGGGTTATTTGTTCATCCCATACCCAAAATGTACTTTGTTAACCTAGAACCTTATACTATCTTGATCACACAAATTAGGTGAGAATATAAAATGCTTTTCATAACTGGGAGTGATACTGCTCTCAACTTACTAGATTTTTTTTCATTCTTACAGCTATGGGTCCTGAATTTAATATGAATTAAAACTTACTTTTGTATTATTGATGTAATCTGTGGGATTCATCTGCACAGAACTAGTGAAAAGCTGAAAGACCAAACGAGAAAGATGATAAGTTCAAAAAATATTAAAAAAAAATAATTAACTGTGTGTTCAAAAATGTTATACAGCCATGTTGGGTGAAGATATGTAGTTCCTACACTAAGAAGTTTCCATACAATAAAACAAGTTTGGAAGAGAAAAGCAGGAAAACAAAGTAAAACAAACAATAGCAGAGCCCATAAACTTATATATAAGAATTTCTCTAACTGTGATTGTGACTGTCTCATATAAGACAAATGGTGGTTTATCCATCTCCTGTATGCCTTCATTTTTTTTAGCCTTAAATGTCTCTGGCCATTAGTGGCACCTAAGGCTGAGTTTCTTGTCCTATCACTAACCTCCTCCAAGTATTTCACAATAAATTTATAGAATCAGCTCCATGATAGTGACTCCTGGAGTAGTGCTCAAGCAGAGCCCTGGGAGGAGATGGTGTTGGTATTTTACTTTTCAATTACAAGGGACATCAAAAAAATGTTAAGACCACAGCTTACTGAATTTCGTAATTCTAATTAGTTACAGATAAAACTTTTTTTCAAGTCATAAGATTCAGTCATTCACTTCACAAAAATTTATTGAACATCCAAGAAATAACTAACATCATAAAGAGTACAGGATGAAGACACTATTCCTGCTCTCCAGGAGCTTACAATCTAAAAGACAAGAACAACATTAAATAGCAACATATGATCAAATACAATCCAGTATTTTTTAACACAGTGGGATTCAAAAGTATTGAGGAGTTTCAAGAAAAAGATAAGAAAGGAAATAGAAAGACAAATGTATTCATATGTAGTATGAAACAAAAAGCCTAGGTGTATTGTTTATCTGTCCCTACAGAACTGTTAGGACTTGGAAAGGAGAGAACAGAGGGAAAATAAAATCATGATTGGGTTAGCATAAGAAAAGAAGGAAGGAGTGTCTGGTAATTTTCAGAAATAGATGACTCTACAAGTCCAAATAACATGAAGTTGTGTTAAATAGTAAATTATACATACATATATATATATGTAAGATTCAAAAAGTAGAGCAAGACCAGTTAGTAGACAGGTCTGCATTCTGACAGCAATGAGGTTTGATGATTCTAGGATAATTAAGCATATCAAATGGTTACAGCATGAAATGCAAAGAGGGTCAGAGTATTTACCTCTTTTATTACTTATTCCTCTCTATCTTCTATGTTCAGAGTAAACCTACATTCATGGTAACTTTTCCTTCCATTTCATCAACTCTTCCCTTTTGCAAACCACCTACTGATAGAAGCAGCAGAAGAGACTGAGTTTTTTAAGAACAGATACATGACCGCCAATCTTTACAAGTTCAACTAGATTCCACTACAGATTTTTTCCTAATAAGAATGGCGTCAGAGGAAGGCCAGTAGTTCCTTATCACTCCTTTTTTGCTGCATTTGCCCATCCACTGACTCAGAGACATCTTCATGGATAGTAGACACAATGGTGAGGTAGAAAAAAAACAGTTAACATGAAAGGAATTAACACAATTTATTTCTAAAGTCAAGTCTCTTCTGCTGATTCAGTATTGAATGCCACAGGGAGAATCATGAACTTCCTTGGCAAACTTATTCCTAGTTTTGCCAGCCCTGCCATCTTTTTTTTGCTTTTTGGGTCATACCCAGCAATTCTCAGGGATTACTCCTGGCTCTACAATCAGGAATTACTCCTGGCAGTGCTGGGGGACCATACGGAATGCTGGGGAACAAAACTGGGTCAGCCGCATGTAAGGCAAATGCCCTACCCGTTGCACTATTGCTTCGGCTGCGATTCCTGCCATCTTAAGAGAATAATGCAACCTATAGATAGATTTTTAAAGTTTATGACAAACACCATTAATTCAAACATGGAAAAAAATAAAGGTCTTAAATAAGAAAGGAAACAAGAAATGGGGAACACTTATAAATGTTGTTTTTGAAAATACACAGAACTTGGGTGAATAATGAGACAGTTTAGAAAACCAAGATGACTGTGATCACTAACCTAGATATGCAAAGAAATCTGATAAACCATTAAAAAATTAAGAAAGTTTAATGCCTTAACTCATAATACTAAAAGGAAGAGAAGAGTTCAAGCAACTTTTACTTTAAATAGAATTAGGAGCAAGAGAAGCACATTTGATAATACAAGTCAAAATACAAGTTCCCTTCATAAAAAAAAAATAGAAAAAGAAACTGAAAAATAAAAGATGTTGCAACTGGTATCTTGAAGAAGATATACAAGTAATAGAAAAATACTCTGAGAGAAAACAGAAAGGGGTACAAGAAAAAAAAACCAAGGTTTATGGCTTTAAAAAATCTCCCAATTAAAAACAATTGTGAGAAATCAAGTGTTAATAATAAAAATTAATAGTGTTAATTACAATTCTAATAACAGCTCTTTCAATTAGGATTTAGCCACATTTAACAGATGGTGAAACTAAGAAAAAGGGGATAACTTTACCAAGGTTAATATCATAGCTGGTAAGTAACACGAGCCAATAATGAAATCCAAGGCTGTCTGATTCAAAACAAATCTTCACTTGCCCAGTGGCCTAATTGGGAGGGAAAAAAGGCAGCATACAAATGTATGGATAAACAAAGGTAGTATATGCTACACAGGCTTAGAGTGAGTAAACAAAAAACATAAGCTCTCAGAAGAGATAATATAGTGAAAAACAGACATAACTACATATTTAGAGTTTTGTAGAGAAAGGATTGGAGACACCAAATGATAGGTGAGCAGATCAACACTTTCAAATTTTTTTTTTTTAAATGTGAAAGGACTACAGATGGTGGTGCTCAAGATCTACTCTTAGCTCTGCGCTCAGGGGTCAGTCATGGTACTGCTTGGAAGATGATGTATGGTGCCAGGGACTGAACAAGAAGTATACCAAATGCATGGAAAGCATCAGCATCTGAACCTCTGTACTTAAGCTCTGGAACCCTCAATATTTTAAGTCAAGAGAGTAGGGTTGGAGAGCACAAAAGGCTAGAGCATCTGACAACTCCTAGGAGAGCAGCCCCCAAGCATCATCAGATGTGGCCCCAAATAACGGGCAAATGGGAAAGATTAAGATACAAAAATAGTGAGGCTGAGGGCAGGTATGTAAATTTGGCTTTACAGACACAATAGTTCTTCGAATAGGACAGGATGTAAACTTTCATAGACTGTAAGAATTCCACAGATAGGGTAAATGAACATGCTGGCTGAAGAGGTCTTGTACACTAGCAAGTATTACAAATGTGTCCAAACTGAACTAAAATAAGGAACAGTTTGTAGAGGGTCAGCACAGTGGGATTTTATTTTCTTTTATTAATCTAAGAGATTGAATGGTCACTGGATTCATAAGGGGGATAGAGACTGATATAATTAAGCACTGCAGTCACCTTTGTTAACAAGTTGGTGATTAACCCTTGGCTAAATTCTCTTAAAATGGTAATATAGGGGCTGGAGCAATAGTACAGCAGGCAGGGCGTTTGCCTTGCATGTGGCCTACCCGGATTCGATTCCTAGCATCCCATGTGGTCCCCCAAGCACCGTCAGGAGTGATTTCTGAGCGCAGAGCCAGGAGTAACCCCTGTGCATCGCCAGGTGTGACCCAAAAAGCCAAATAAATGGTTAACATAAGTAAAAATGGAAGAAAATCTTCAAAGAAGGTGAAATCCATCCTGTTAAAACACAGATCATTTGGAAAGATATGTGACACTCAAAAAAAAACTGATAAAAAATCAGAGGGTAAGGTGGTAAAATTAATATGATTAAAGAATAAGGAAAAAAATGTTTTACCCTCATTGAGAAGATCTTAGGAAAACCCAAATGTAAAATTTTTTGATGTGAAAAAAGGCAATACGGGGCAAAAAAGTAAGAAAGCTTTTCAGGATAGAGAGAAACATTCACAACAGAAAATCTAAAGAGTGAGATCACCTGAATAATTTACCTGGGTGGGACTCATATGGCCATATATGAAGCTTAGATTAGGGAAGAAGGATTGGTACAAATAAGAAGAGCGAGAAAGCTGGTTAGTGCCAACAATGTAGTAGAGTCAGGGTTGATTGTTGGAGTCAAGTTTCTAAGAGGTAGTGGTGAGAACTAGAGGAAAATCTTAGTACTGAGGATATAAATTTCTGAAACTTAACAAATTTCATAATAAAAAATAAATGAACAGAAAATATTTATTCTCAAGGTATTAAAAAATCACCATTCTGATTCCTGGCTAATAAGTTTCTCTACTACTAATTTTTGCCAATTTCTGTTCAGTGATAATTTGTTCTAGACTAAATCACCACAGAAACATGACTAAACAAAACCTGAATTAAATATTTAATTTGATAATGTTATGGGGGGATTGGCTAAACTGCTATTCAGAGACTGGTAGTGATCAATCTCCTTCACTGTATAAAGTCCATCTGTTTAATTCTTTCTGATAAGCAATACCATTCTGAGAAAAAAAAAGCAAATATAGTACAGAATGTAACAAAATGATGTACGATTTTATAAGTATACATAAAACACATAAACTGCCAGTAGAGCAAAATTATTAAAAGTACCTACATCAACCAGAAGATCTGGGTCTATGCTAAACTGTCTTCCTGACAGCATGGCCTGGAAATCCTCTAAACTGCAATCAATACTGTCAAGGTAATCCAATAGTTCAACCCTAAGGAAAAAAAAAAAGATTTAAAAACAACAACATTAGGTCTTTCTTTTTTTATGTTTAAAATCACAGTGCGATGATCCAGATAGGCAAAATATTCTTAACAAGTACTGAATCCTGACCAATAAACAGTATTAGAAGATTCTATGTGATGTTTTAATTTCTGAAATTATGGTTAACTAAGAACTTACCATCTTTTACTTTGCCATCAGATCATTCACACAGAAGTAACAGAGAAAATATACTTAAATATTTACATTAACAAGGTAAATATTAACCTTGTCTGTACCATAAATTAGAAGATGCTGAACTTTTTATTACTAACCATTACAATTTCTGGTTTTCTTAAGCTATAATTAAGTTCCTTAATAAAGATTATTCCATGGTTTTGAGAAAAACACTAATAAATAATCACCTTCTTTGCTGACATTAAAATGCCCATTTAATTAAAGATATTTGAGGAATTATCCAAAATATTATCAATATTGTTCTTATGCTGATTGAAACCTCCTCAAAATAACACTGTGAAGCTTAGTCCAACTATACCAGAAAGGTTGTCTACATAGGTTAATCTGAAAGATCTGAGAAACACAACAGGTAAACAAAATAAGCAAGTAAATTTAGATAAGTACTCACTTTCCCAAAAGATTGATGTTATCATTTAAAATAGAATCCATCATAGTAACAGGGTCATCTGTGGTCAAACCAGATGTGCCATTGAGCTGTACAGCACTAGACATGAGAGGGTTGGTTCCATCACTGCTTGAATTTAGGGATTCTCTGGCAGCTTCATTTTGCTCTCCACTCTGAATGACAGGTGCATACTCATCTTCATTGTCATCTTCAACAATGACAATATCAGGATACGGGCTACAATTATGTTGGCAATATGAGAAAGAAACCAATTACATTTTCAGACCAATAAACTTAATTTGTTCACTCATTCTCCATAGAAAGTTTCCTCAAACCAGATAATTCCTCAAATTTAGTACCAGAAGTATTAAATTCTGTAAATTTCTTAAGAATGTAGAATATTCACAAATATGGATATTTCATATGATAAAAACTAAAAGAAAAACTCAATTAAAAAGTTATCCACCTCCTTCCTAAATAATTTGGTTTCATTTTCAATTTACTCCATATATGTTAGGTAATAGTTTTCAAATAACAAACTTGTGGGCTCTCAGAAAGAGAGCTCAATGCACTGAGCTTCACATGCTTTACCTGAAGGTCTTGGTTCACTCCCGAGCATTGCATGGTCCCCTGGGCACTAAGCTGGGAGCTAAAAGTAGCTCTGGAGCACCACCAGAATTACCCCACTTCCCCCCCCCCCAAAAAAAAGAACAAAATATTTTTTAATTTAGCATTTTTTTTTTTCTTCAGGAGTGGGGAGGGAGTTGGGCTGTATTCAGTGGCTCTCATATGCTGTTCCTGGCTCTGTGTTCAGGTCTGTGATCATGCTCAGGAAACTATACATATGTAATGCCAGCCACAAGCAAGGCAAGTGCTTTATTAGCCTTTATTATTCTCTGGCCCCCAATTTATCTCCGACAAAATAACAAATTTTATTTCATAATCTTACTTGGAGGGATCAGAGATAACATCCTCATGAGATTCTGGAATAACTGAAATATTATCCTCATCTGCATTATCATCAGTTACATCATAAATAATGATGTCGTCTGAAATACGTTCCCTTGGTTTTAAGCCTTCAGTTCGACTGTGTGGAACCTAAAAGATAAAATCTAAATTAAAAAAATTGAAACTGTATTACAAAAAGAAGAATTTTTAACAAGGGTAAGTGGACACTGTTTACTAATGCTGGAGACAAATCATAAAATTGTTTCTATGTTTATAGGACATGTACAGTAACTGATATTAGTAGTACCAATTCATAGAGGTAAAAATATAGTATCTGCTTTTTTTTTTTTACTGAAAGGGACCTTAAAAATGACATGTTTTGCATCTCCCTGATGATTAGTGATGCAGAGCATTTTTCATGTGTCTTTTAGCCGTTTTTGCAAACCATAATGCCCAAAAGGACAGGGGCTGTATAGGGAGAGGGAAAGGTAGGAGACGGGGAGAGAAAAGCTGGAGAGGGAAGGACAGAGAAAGGGAGAAAAGGAGAGAAGGAGAGAGAGGGAGAGGGAGGGAGAGAGAGGGAGAAAGAGTACCTGCCAGAGATGAGCTAGGGGGAGGGTGGCAGAAGGGAAACTGGGAACAATGGTGGTAGGAAATGCACATTGGTGGAGGGATGGGTGTTGGAACACTATGACTGACCATGAACAGCTTTGTAACTCTGTATCTCATGGTGATTCAACATATAAATAAAAATTAAAAAAAATAAAGAAAACTTAGACAAATGCTAAAAAAAAAAAAGAAAAATGCTTGCCAAATGTCCACTTAAGCGTGCTCATAATTTCAATTAGCTAATTAATATTTGTTTAGGTTCATAGTTTTCCTACAAATGAAACACTTCTAGTCAAGATTATAATCACCTCTTGGTGCATCCTGTAGAGCCACGTTGGCTCATAGCTTGTAATTATTTATGCTAAGAATCAGCAATCAGAAGTTGAAAATTTTAACAACCCTGGGAGGGGGAAACAAAAAAGACATGCCCACAACCCCAAGTGCTTTTGTGGAAGAATCTTTACACTTTGTAATAGTTAAACCAAGAGGGTAAACATGTCCTAGAACTTAATTTCAAAGTTAATGAGACAGCTACTTGTTCTGGTAGGAATTTACTTGGTGGAGGGTAATCTGAGTCATACCCGGCTGTGCTCAGAGGGCTTATTACTAACTTTGTGCTCAAGGCTTGCTTCTGTTTTTTTCTTTTCTTCTTTTTTTTCCTGTTTCAACCACCTACCCTCCACCAGAGGTTCACTACTCCCCTCCTTGAACAGGAGATAAGTTTCTATTTACCTGTGTCTTATTTTAGCCGTGATTTGTCATTTTCTTTACACAAGTCATTCACCTGTTCCGGTAAGCTGATTCACATCTATCTTGATTATTTTTGAGGTTCACTTGCAAATGGAACGTTTCTCACTTTCTCTTCTATTTCACTGTTTGCATATAGGAATGCCATGATTTCTTTGTGTCAATTATGTAGCCTGTCACTTTACTATTAAGTTTATTGTTCCTAGGAGGCTTATTTATTAATATTTTTGTAGAGCTTTTGGCATTTTCAAAGTATAATGTATCAAGTCATCTGCAAATTGTGCTATACTGATTTTTTCTTCAATTTGATTACCTTTATATCTCTTTCTTGCCTTAAAATGCTATGGCTAGGACTTCTAATACTATAATATTCCAGTATGTCTGAAAGAATAGTTGGAAGAAAATCACCAGATATCATGAATAACTTTGACTTGCCTAAAACCAAAAATATCTGTATTTTAATAATGAATCTGAAGCAGTATTTGGAAATACAAAAAAAAATAAGTAGCAGTGATAATTTTTAAATACGATGGGCTGGACTAATTTGCTACTGGATATAGTTTTACAAATTATCCAAAGAGACTGCTCTGTAATAGAAGGTGACAGGGTCAGAAAGATAGGACAGAGTGGTGAAGGAAGATGCTTGACTTGCATGTGGGTGACAATGGTTCAATTGCCAGCACCACATATGATCCCCAAATACCACCAGAAGTGATCCCTGAGCATAAAGTCGGAGTAAATCCTGAGTAGAGCTGGGTGTCCTGTTCCTCCTTCCACTAAAAGTGGAGGTAAGAATGTTTCTTTAAATTGGTATAGCACAAGCATAGCCTACTTTATAATTATAATTAAAGTCAGAAAGAACAAAATAACCAATTAAAAATAAACAAATGCCATAATATTTGACTAATACAAGCTGAAATCAATTAAACGTGTTAATAAATCTGAAAAGGCCAAATAAAAAAGTCACTGCGAAATACATAAAAATATGAAATTATATTTATATGTAGTTTAAAACATGTAAAACAATAAATTTAGCTGATGGAATTCACACACATAAAATGGCCGAGGAAATGATAACTACTGATTCAGCAGGGTGAACATCTCTAGGTCAAAGGGAGACAGAAGGAAAAACAAATTTGAGGAAATGTGAGACTAACATCTGAGGTTTGTTTTTGTTTTTCTCAGTGTTCTAAACTTGCTTAATTTACTCCTTGGGGTGCATAGGTACAGTTCCAGCTTAGTGCTTGAGGGACCATGGTGGTGTGGATTAAATGAGGGGCTCCTGCATGCACAGTATGCGCCTCGGCTCTCACAATGCTCTCTTGCCATCCTTTTTTTTCTAATGAGAAAACCAATTACTGCTTTAGATCATTACATAAGTTTTTTGGGTGTACATCACTGAAAGCAACATGAGGGAATCATGTATGTACACGGCTATTTCTTTAATTATCTAAAGTAAATAAAAAACATGAATTAATAAACTGAAGATGAATGCAATATCTAGTCACTACACTTCTTGAGTTAGAAATATTGCCATAAAATATTACTTTGTGGTGGTGATTGTCAGCTGGTTCTTTTACTATGTGCTGAAACAGATTCTTCTTTTGTGCTCCATTAGTGTTTAGAAGCAAAGGTCTGAAAATCAGAACATATAAAAGTTTAAGTGAAGCAAACAAGTAAATACACTAAATTGCTTAACACAAACTCACTTTAATAATAATTTTAAAAAATCTCAGTATAAAATAACTTGAAGAGTTATTTCATTTTAGGGACAGACACTTGGATATGAGTGAATTTTAGACTTTAAAAGAGGATTAGATACTAGAAAGAGCAAGTAAAAAAAAATGCTTTTGCACCATAGGACAGTGAGGAAATTAGGAAAAAGAGAGCAAAGAAAAGGAATTTCACTCATTTGAGACTTCTAATGCTACATTTAATTATGAGTGTAAATTAAAAGTGGATTCTTTAAGTAAATGGTATGTCTATAAAGTGACTATTTATGTTACTCTTATCTTTCAAAATCATCAGTCGGATGACAGCAGTAAAAACAGTATCACTCTTGAAATATACGAAATATAATTTCATAAGAGAGGAATGTTTATCTGGAACAAAAGACATACTCTCACAAAGAAAGACCATTCATGGTTAAATACTACAATGTTTGGTTGTCTACACTTAGCCACAAGTATCTTTATAAAACATACCTTTTACGTTTTAGACTCACAAGTTGATTATTCTGAACCAAAGTAACAATAAACTGAACAATCTAAAAAGAAAATATAAATTACAAATTTCCATCATAAACTTCTATTACTTCAATCCAAATTACCAACTCTTCAAAATACTATTAAATTCTCTACTATTTCATTATTCATCACATATTAACATATTTAGCATTTAAGATATTTTCTTAGGGTTGTTATCTAAAAAAACATCAGTTTTCAGCTGAGAAGTAACCTGTGGTAATATGTTGGTGCTTACACCCAAGAAGATCCACTCAACAACCCACTCACTATTCATCTATCAAACATTCAGTTCTGTAGTGTTGGTGATAAATACAAACCATGACTGAATATATATTCAAAATTTTTAAAATTCTTTCAAAATTATGATAATGCTTAAGGAACAACATTTCTTATACCAGGAAATACAAGGAACAGGCAAACAAAACAACATTTCAATTTAGAAAGTTTACTGGTTGTTCTAGAAAACTGACTGAAGTACTATTAAAGCTTCTGGCTGACAAGTTTTTAAATCTTCAAAACCTGATTACATTTAGAAAAAAAAAAAGGCAATATACGGGCCAAGACAAGAAATGTCTTGTCACGTCATATTGTCATGACAGTGACATTATTTTTAAAAGTATAGGCTATGGATCAGCATCACAGGATTAAGAAACTTTCAGACATAAAAATACTCAAACCCCTCACTCTAGCTTATAATACTGCTTGTCTCTACAAATGATACTGATGTAAATGAGAGAACAGGTTATGCTGTGAAATGATACTATCAATTTCCTAATAGAGCTAAAAAAGTGAGAATCACATGGTAACAGCATTGCCACTGAATGGTTTTCTAAGTTCCATGTAAGTTGCATGAAAAGCAATTATATAATTAAAATAGTAAAACTATTAAAAACATTGTATAGCTTTAATATTGTATATTCTCCTACTAAATAATTTACCTTATGACCATTAATAAACATTTCTATAGATAAAAATATTTTTTCTCAGTTAACATTAGAGTTGCATATTAATTCTATGAAAATATATTTTCTCCGTCTTGACTGTAGTCCAAAGGCTGTTAGCCACCGTTCATCTCTATGTCTGGTTAACTATACTAAGATTCTGTCTGTCATAATTATTTTTAGCTAAAGGTTACTCAGCATGAACAAGTTTAAGCTGTCTCCTAGTCACCCTCCCAACAAAAAAAACCTGTTCCTTAAACTTAACAGTCAAGTTTACTCATGAGCAAAAAATAGCTACCTAACACTCCATATCAACAAATGAAAGCTGATGTGAAAAGGGAAACTATAGAGAGACAATATAACAGATTTTAAATTCTCTAAAATTTCCAGCATAGGGACAAAAATCAAAGATTTACTTTACAACTATAATAACTGCTTTTCTGCAGAGAAAATAGTATATGCTAATAACTGATTTGAAAATATCAGTCATTCAAAACATACTCACACAGTAAGGCAGTTTTCAGCTGTCCCCCCCGCCCCGCTTTTTCTTTTTTTCAACAGTGCAGGGGACAATCCCAGGGTACCTGACCAAGTGTCAAATCTTAAGTTACAAAAGTTAAGAAATTGGCAGCTCATGTGTTTAATTCCTTCACTCACATGTAGAATAAAGAAACAAAGTGAGGGTACAGACAATCCTCAACAAGGACAAACCCTGAGAGACTGCCAAAAGAATGGCAAACTAAGGCAACAGGGTTGGGGCTGGAGTACCATGGGACAATAGGAGAAGTATGCTAACACTCTGGGGAGGGGTATGCTGTAATTGCACTCTAAGCATAAACCAATAATATTAATACTACCATAAACCAAAACTGATTGTATACACACACACACACACACACACACACACACACACACGGTAGTAATTATTCGCGAAAGTATAAACTATCTATTAGAGAGCCAGGAGAGAGAGCTCAATGGGCTAAGTATATGCTTTGTATGAAATGCATCCAAGTATGATGACCAGCACACATGGTCACCTAAGCACAACAAGTACATGGCCCCTACAACAAGAATCTGAACACATCCCAAACAATGGACAAAATAGGCCATTACTTGAAACATCAGACACTAATTGGGAGCAGAAAAGAACGTATTTAGCTGAACTGCTTTATATTAAATATTTTTGTATAATAGAGCACAAATATATATACACGTGTATCTATGTAGATATATATACACTGATAAATATATATATGTATATAAAAACACATTGTTTCATTGATATTGTTTTACTTTTTTGTAAGAAACGTAAAATGTATGCAATATATAAGAAATTTAGATTATCTACCTGTTCAATAAAGACATTTTTGGGATCACAAACAGCACATAATGAATATTACACTCATAAAAGAAAAAAGCTTACCTTTCGAATAACTTGTTGCTGTTGTGCGTGTTTTGCTCGTAATTCTGATACCTCTTTCCAAAGAGACTCATTCTCACTGTATTGAATTTATTTAAAAAAATGACAAAAAATTATGACAGAAAGGAAAATCTCAGTTCTTTAATTTTTGGGCCACACCCAGTTGTGCTTGAGACTTGCTCCAAGCAGTGCCAAGGGTACCATGCAGTGCCCAAGACTGAAATCTGAGCTTACTTCATGTAGACTATGTGCTCATTTCTTGGAAATCTTCTCTCCAGACCAAGATCTCCGTATCATTAATTAGAAATACCTAGGGCATAGCACTCAGGGGCACACAGCATGTGCCAGGACCAGAGATGAAATCCTGGCAATACATACCCCTCTTTCGAGTACCACTGGGATGGTGCTGGAGGCCCCAATCACTGCTGGCAGGACCAGAAGCCCCTCTGCACCAAAAGGTTCAAGCTGCTCAACAACCTTGGGATCTAGCACTGAACTATCAAGCTTCATCAGCCAAGTATTGCCTCCCTCCTCCCCCTCCCACCCTCTCAGTTAAACACTGCTTGAGAACTCCTACCCTACAAAAAGAATACTAGAGAACTGAAAACTATTCTAGTTTTTATTATATAATTTCATGGCACTAAAAACTTTAATTCAGTTACACTGGAACTACAGTACTTAGTACAATATCATTCCTTAATTATATCTTATATGTGTGTGTGTGTATATATATATGTACATATGTAAATGCATATATATAGAGTATAAAAATATATATACAAAAAACTTAAGACTCATACATCAATAGGCAATTTATTGATTCATTATATTTTGTTTTTTTGGGGCCAATCCTGGCAGTGCTCAGTGTTTACTCCTGGCAGGGCTCAGGAGACCTAAGGGGTGCTATGGATTAAACTTAGGTCTGTCATGTGCAAGGCACTACCCACTGTATTATCACTCTGGCTCATTTCATTACTTCTTGTTTAAAAAATAACCTAACCTTTCAACTGTTGGTACCAAGAGAATTCCTTAATTCCTTATATTTTGGAAACAAGTCTCAAAGGTGAGTGCCAAATTATTAGGAACAGCTATGCTACAAGTAATGTGTTAAAAAGAATTTTATATGTGTTTTTACTTAAACTTTCCTAAAATACAGCAAGAAAAAAAACCCATTTTATTTCAGTTTTACAGATGATGATACAAAGACTCAAGAGAACTAATGAGACCTTGTCCATGATCACACACAGATAACCTGTTTACTGTTGAAGTTAAATTATAGTTTGTCAGATTCTAAATATGATAAACCAAAAACCATCTATTAGTAGTATTTCTTCCCCCCTTTTAACCATTTTATTAAAATCAGCATTATTTATTAAATGTTAGAAGAACCATTAATGATGAGAAGGCATGAATGATAACAAATGTTCTAATTTTCAATTTTTGCTAATTTCTGCATCCAATTTTCTGCATCTAATTTCTAATCCAATTTTTATGAAAGTGACTGAATTTTCACATGTAGAATGTATTGAGGGTGAGACTTTAGGTCAAACTACACAACAATAAACACACAAAAAAAAACACAGTAAAACTAATATTAAGAGATTACAGAAAATCTACAAAGTTTGAAAAGCCTAAGATTACAGCTTATTCAAAAAGGCTATCAAAGTCCAAGATTGCTCTTTTAATGGAGCTGAGTTAAAAATAGCTAAACTAGGGCCAAGGAGATGGCTCAAAGGTCTGGAACACAGGATTTGCAAAGGTGTGGTTTAATACTCTGAACGAGCACCACCAGGGAACAAACCCAGTCTTCACTGGGAGCAGCATCCAACAGAGCAGGGTGTATTCCAAAAATCAAAACAAAAAAATTAGGGAAAAAACAGAACAGCTAAACTTGGGACAGGGGAAAATGGATTAAGTGGTGCACCATAAGCCTAGTTTGATCCTTGGCACTGTTGGAATTGTCTTAATGACCTATGACCACCTCTAAGACCCAAGCATTACTGCAGTACTGGGTCCAAGCACCAAACTGTCAACCTGCTAGAACAAGTACTGTGCAAAAGTACTGTGCAAAATAATGGCCTTATTTGAAGTTAGAATACATGAAATAACTACTCTTAAATTGCTGGCATCTATTGGGCTAAAATTCATGTATTTACTAAGTAGTATACATTTACATATAAGCTGTTCATGGCAAGTTGTAATAATAGTGTCAAGAACTGCTGCATAGCAAAACAAAGTATATTTCTATAGAAAATAAAGTCTGAATAACACTTTCCAAAGTTTGCCAAGTATGAAGTAGGGAAATTCCCATGTGACATTTCCCCCTCATTTTTGTGTTCTAATTTTCCCTAAGAGAGGACTCAGAAAAGTCTTAAACTCCAAAAAGAAGGATAAGACATGTAGAATTTTTTCTGGTTTGTGACCCAATTTGTGTTTTACCATGAAAACTAGACAAGTAGAATATTTCCTACACCAAATTAAAGATCTACTGTTTTATCGGTATGATTTGTAGCATCACGCAGTTCTGAATCCATGCCCACATTCACACAGTACTGACACCATGAAATAGAGGCAACCTTCACTAACACAGGTCTGAACTACATGGGTCCATCTATAGGTAAATTATTTTTCAATAAATACACTAGAAAATTAGGAAAATTTTCATTTACTACCACAAAATCAGAATTTACTATAAAAAAAGCTAGCTATATTTCACCAAAATGTAGGCACACATGTCAAGAGAAATATAAAAAATCATAACTGCAGGAAAGTTATGTGCTGTATACTGTATACAATTCTTAATTTCATATATCTAACTTATATTACTATTGTAACGAGCTCAAGTATTGTGAGTAGCTCATCTATCCAGTAATAATAAAAAGCCACAGTGGATTTTCAACTATAGTGTGCAATGAGGTTGGTATCCCTTACTTTTACATTGTTCAAAGGTCAACTGTTTAATTTGTGGGTAAATTCTAGGCCACAAATCAAAAATAAAGAGAATTTACACAGAGGAACACAACCCTTAATCTTGGCTTTGACTACATAATTTAAGTTATGGAGCAATCCTCCAAGACTCCCACAATCCCACAAGGCAATATATACATAAAGGACTTCATACCTTTTTAATTCAGAAAGCCTAGACTCAATAGTTTCTTGTTTTATTTGAACCTTCTGAGCACTACTTATAATTTTTGTTAAATCTTCCTGACGAATTTTATTTTCTTCTGGTTTTGAGGATGAAACCTTCAAAACAAAAATTTAGGAAATTAAATACTGAACACCATGACTAATGGTATAATTTAAAGCTTATTTTTAAGAGGTTTTTTTAGTCTGTTCTAGATGTGATATCTAGGTTCCAAAAACCCAGAAAGGATAAGGGAAAGAATGAACTTTCCAAGAAAGGATAAAGAAATAAGTAGTGCATATGTATGTGTATATATAATCAAAATACATCAACTATACATAAAACATGTGTTAAACTAGAGTTAATTATAAATAATATACGACCTATATATATTAACATGGAGATGTTGCCAAGGACAGAAGCATCCTAGGGTTGTTTCTTGATTTCCTAGTGTAAAACTCCCTGCAAATTCCTCAGCCTCCTATCACATTCCATGTTTAATTAAATTTGTATAGTAATAGCTATATACTTGGCCATTTTCTTTCATGGTTCATTACCTTTTGATTCCTTTACTCTTTCACAAATTTAGTAAAACTATTTTACTCCAAAAACCATATTATTCAAATATGTACTACTAAATGCATTTATTCTGAGTACTGGATATGCAGCAGTAAACTATAGTACTACTACAAGGATCTGACATTCTAGCACTTTATATTTTGTAAACTAAATTAGTAGTAATAAATCCCAATATGTATGATTTCTCACTCTCAATCAGACACAGAAAATGTTTTTCTTCTTCCTAGGAAGTATCTGAGGAGTACAATTCAGTATGGGGCAGTGTGTTGGGTAGATTGAGGAGGCAAAAGGAAGGTGGATATAAATATAATTAAAAAAAACTTTACTAGCCTAGGTCATCCCAAGAACAAACATTATGTATTTAATTTTAACAGTATAAAGTTTTGCCTTGCAAGCAGCCAACATGGTCAACCCAAGTTCGATTTCTCTGCCCCTCTCGGAGAGCCAGGCAAGCTACTGAGAGTATCTTGCCCGCATGGCAGAGCCTGGCAAGCTACCTGTGATGTATTCGATATGCCAAATACAGTAACAACAAGTCTCACGATGGAGACGTTACTGGGCCCGCTCGAGCAAATCAATAACAACGGGAGGACCGTGACCGAGTATGAAGTTGAAATCTTGGCCAAGTATACTATATGAAAAAGCTCAAATTAAATCATGTTACCAGTAGCTCACCTTCCTTTTAATGTTCTCCAACAAGTCATCCTGGCCTTGTTTGAAATAAGGATGCTGGAATTCAACAGGTCCATCTCGTTCCTGCTTCACAATTCCAGAATCAATATGTACTACTTTACGGAAACCATCTGAAAATATTTAAAATTGCAATTGTTAAGCAAACTAATAAAAAAATCAATGATGCTTCCATTAAGTATATTTCCCTTGATCACCTGAATGGGAATAAGATAGTTTAATCAGTAGCCAAATCAACTACTTTGGTTCATACTTACACATATTCAGTTGTCTCACAAAACTTGCCATGTTATTGTGTTTGAAATACTTGGGAAGGATTTCTTTTGCAAATCTTTGTTCATCCAAAACCAGAAAACTTTGTCCATTCTGAAAAAGAGGAAAAGATAGTTAAGATTTGATGACACCTGGTGACAGACATAAAACTCCAAAATGGGTTTTCCTTCCATATTTTCAGACCAATATCTTATTCCAGTACCTGGGAACAAGAAAAAACACTGCACCTAAACATTAACTGCAATTAAGCTCCTTGCTATCAACCTCAAACGTTTAGGACTTTCTCTCTCTCCAAAACAAACATTATATTCTTTGAGATGAAATATTAGAAATGCTATTAAAAAAGAAATGAGAAATACAAGCATGTAGACAGCATCACTATTTAACAATGTTTTAAAGCCAAAGTAACTGGGAGGATTGAAAGAGATAGCACAGCGGGTAGGGCGTTTGCCTTGCACGCGGGCAACCCGGGTTCGATTCCCAGAATCCCATATGGTCCCTTTAGCACCGCCAGGAGTAACTTCTGAGTTCAGAGCCAGGAGTAACCCGTTTTACAAAAATTTCAAGGAAGCAATATTTTATCAGTTTTTACAAGGACATAAGAGCTTTGTATAGTCAACCAAAAAAACTGATAATTCAATAAATACCTGATTATTAATAGAAGTCAATGGTATTCTCCCAAACTCCCCCAAAATGTTGAAAACATTATAAAATATGGTAATTAAAACAACACTACTGGAAAAAAAAAAGGTAACAAAGAATAGAATAAAGAGCCCCCGAATAAACTTTTACATAGATAGTCCAAGGATTTTTGACAAAGGTTTTAAGACCATTCAAAAGATAATCTTCAGGGCTACAGAAAAAATACCCCAAGTAGGGTGCCTATCTTGCACAAAGCCAATCCAGGTTCGATGGTGAGCACCCCACATAGCCCCAATCCTGGCCAGGAATGATCCCTGAGTACAGAATCAGAAGTAAGCTCTGAGTACCATCGATGTGTACCTCCCCTCCTCCTACCAAAAAACAAAACAACAACAACAAAACAACAACAACAAAACAACAACAACAAAAAAAAACCAAAGCCAACAACAAAAGATAGCCTTTAACAAATAATTCTAGGAAAACTGAAAACTTAGATGCAAAAGAATTAAGATTAAAAAAAAGAGAAAAAAGAATTAAGATGAACCCTTATGTAAAAATTAACTTAATATGAATAGAACAAAATTATGAACTAAAATTATTTTTTAAAGTCCTCAGCAGAAATGAAGAGTATCTAATAACACTTGAAGAATTATGCTATGCAAAATAGGACAATCACAAAGGAACAAATACTGAGGACCAGATTTGGCCCTGAGAGTGCCTAGAGATGGTGTCAACCTGCAGCAACACCCTGCCGCTTCCCAAACTGCTAACTTCCCAGGTGAGCATTGGAAACGGACCAGGCGCCAGGCTAAGTCTGCCAGAATGGAATTCCCCACTCCACAACAAAACACTAAACACAGTTGAACTCTAACAATAAATTCACAGCCCTGCAAAAAAGGATCAATAGGAAAGCAACAGAGAACCCCAAAGCAATCCTTGGGAAAGGAAGATGAGAATCATCATTTTCCCCAACATCAAACTATACTACAAATCGGTGTGGTTACTAGAATACAGTGTGGTACTGGTATAAAGACAGACCCTCAGGGGTTGGAGAGATAGAACTGAGGGTAGGGCATTTGCCTTGCACGTGGCCAACCCGGGTTCGATTCTCAGCATCCCATATGGTCCCTTGAGCACCGCCAGGAGTAACTCCTGAGTTCAGAGCTAGGAGTGACCCCTGTGCATCGCCAGGTGTGACCCAAAAAGCAAAAAAAAAAAAAAAAAAGACAGACCCTCAGATTAATAGAGTAGAATTGAAAATGAGAGACAGATCCTCAGGTATACGGTCAGTTAATCTTTGAAAAAGGAGTAAAAAAAAAGTAAGGTGTAGAGCAAGGAAAGCCTCCTCAACAAATGATGCTTCTGGGAAAACTGATTGATGACATGCAAAAACATGAACTCTGATTTCTTTCTAATACCATGCACAAGTCAAATAAAAACGAACTAAAAGACCTCAATATCAGTCCTGAATCCAAAGGTACATAAAAAGGAAAACGGGCAGAATTCTCCATGACAATGAAGCTAAAAGCATGTTTAAGGATGAAATGCCCAGTGACTGACCAGTAAGTGGAAGCAAAAATAACCAAATGAAACTACATTAAATTAAGAAGCGCCTACACCTCAGAGGAAACAAAGTCTAGACTATAAAGACAGCTCACAGACTGGAGAAATTACTTGCATACCACTCATTTGATAAAGGGTTAATATTCAAGATTAGAACTAAGAAAAAGGAACTCCAACGCCATCAAAAAAGTGGGGAGAAGAGATTAATAAAAAGTTCTTAAATACAAATGGCCAAAAGGCATAGGAAAAAATGTGATAGATCACTAATCTTTAGGGAAATGCAAGTTGAAACAATGAGATATCACCTACACCACAAAGATGGGCACTCATTAAAAAAAAGAACAACAACAACAACAAAATCAAAGGCGAGAAATGGTATAGTGTGTAGGGCACTTGCCTTGCATATGGTCGAAATGGGTTTAATCCCTGGCACCCCATATGGTCCACAAAATCCGCCAGGAGTGACAGGTGGGTTTTATTCATTACTAATGGGTTTCTCAACTGAATCTTTTTGGATAACAATATGGACATTTCTCAAAAAATTAGGAATTGATCTTGTATACAACCCAGTTATTCCAAGTTTGGGAATATAGTTCATGGGCCCAAAAACAAAGTAAGGAAGAGACATCTGCACTCCTATGTTCACTGCAGCAATGTTGACAATATTTCATTCTCGAAAAAACCCAAGTGCCCAAGAACAGATGACTGGATAAAGAAGCTATGATACAAATACATAATGGAATATTCGGCCTTAAGAAAAGATGGAGTCATGCAATTTGCTCCTATATATATGAATCTGGAGAGTAACATGCTGAATGAAATGAATCAGAGGGAGAGGGACAGAAACAGAGTATCATCACTCACATGGGGGATATAAAGAAACACAGTGGGGAAATAATGCCAAAAAGGAATAAAATGAAGAGCAGGAGAACTTAGTCCTTAGTAGAAAACTTGCCCCTGGGGAGCAGGGAAGGGACATAGGTCTGAGAAGGGACCACTACAACAAAGATAGAAGGAAGTGGTCAGTCTGGACAAGGACTGGGTGCTGAAAGGAGGTAAACTGAAATGCACGATGCTCTATTAGTAACATTATCATAATCCACAATGCCACAGAGGCAGGCTGAGGGATGGGAGAGAAACTGAGGACATAGGCAGAGAGAAGTGGACACTGGTGATAAGATTGGTGTTGGAACATTGTACATCAAAAACTGAATCATGAAGAACACTAACTTTGTAAATCAACAATGATTCAATAAATAAATAAAATGACAAATACCCAATGATTCTACTTACATGTGGTATTTAAATAGTGAATCAACTATCACTGGCTACAGGAGTGGGAAAGTAGAATTCTGTAAGAGCAAAAACCTACAGTTTCAGTACAAAAGCTTTTCGAAGACAGGTAATAGTGATGGTTGCATATCAATGCTAGATATACTGAATAAGTATTCTGAATTTGGTATTTTATCTTACAACATAAGATTCATAACAGATCTTTCAAATAAAACCCTATGAGACAGAAGACAATGATGATATACAGTACCAAAAAAACAAAGATCAACAAAACACACACCTGACAAAGAACACTCTATCCAGCTAGTCATTATCATTTGAAGGAATGACACAGAGCTTCACTGACAAGCAACAGCTTAGGGAATTCATAGCCCGAAAAACGGTTTTGCAAAAGGCCTTAAAGGAGCTTCTTTAAAGGACAGGGCAAATTTCCCAGCACAAGGTATTGAGTATGGCACTCACTTATGATACTTATGGTTGCCTTTACTAGATTCAGAAAGTTATGTTAACTCCTAGCTTAATATGAGATACTGTTATACTGTTATATTCACAGTTTTGCCTGACCGATGTTGCTGTTGTCCCAAAATTCCAAACGGGATAGGACCACTGTCTCCTTCATGCAAAATTCTACTTCACAGAGCAGGGAGAAAGGGCTGCAAAGTTTAAGAAGAGAACTCCCAGAACGACCACCAGAGAGCTCTTTGGCACTATTGCTGCAACATGGGAAGAAGCCGTCGTTGACAACATTGATGAGGAATATGATCAACTGGTTTAGCACCTACAAGACTGTGCGAGGAACGCCAAGAGATAGCCACAAGAAAAATGCCTGTCTTCAAAAACTCTTGAGCTTATTCACCAACGTTGTTTGGCGCATGCCTCAGGCAACTGCAAGCGAACCTCTGAGCTTGCAAAGCAGTGCAGAGAAGTAATCAAGGAAAACCTCAAAGAGAGAAGAGCAGAAGTACTAGTAGATACGGCAGAAGCCAGGAAAAGCATTCTTAACACCCGCCTGTCCTTCGCCAACTACAAGACCAAGATGACTGCCCTCCGACGTCCTGATGGATCTATCACATCTTCCAGAAGATGGCAATGGAGATTATCCATGACTTCTACTCAGATCTCTTCGACAGCCACGTCCACCTGCCCACATGCCAAATTCCGCAGGATGGATATGTTGTTCCCAACGTTCTCCCTTCCGAAATCTGAAACACCAATTCGTCAGTAAAGAAACGAACAGCAACTGGCCCAGATAAGGTCAGACCTGAACACCTGAAGAACCTGCCATTAGTACTCATCAATAAGCTGGCTCGGCTCTTCACACGCTGTCTGAATGCAAGGTTCCGTGCCAATGGAAAACCAGCAGGACTGTACTATTGTACAAGAAGGGAGACATCCATGACACTGGCAACTATCGCCTGATATGCCTACTGTCTGTCATCTACAAGCTGTTCACTCGAGTCATCCTGAATAGGATTGGCAGAACACGAGATGAAGGACAACCATGCGAGCAAGCCAGGTTCTGCAAAGGATTCAGCACCGTCGACCATATCCACACAATAACCAAGCTCATTGAGGTTTCTCGGGAGTTCAAGATG